ATTCTGGGATGTGGGTCATAGAGGATCCTGCTGTGATTTATGTCAGAGAGTGTTTTGCCTATGTTCTCCTCTAGGAGTTTTATAGTTTCTGGTCTTACATTTAGATCTTTAATCCATTTTGAGTTGTTTACTAGTTTTTTAAATGTAATTGTATAACTGATTTTTTTGAACTGAAGACATGTTATTACATGTTTTTTCAGACTTTTATTCTAGGTGGTCCTTCTTCATTTTCTTTTCAAATGGAATTTTTGATAAACATCTGTATCAGATGGCTTGGCCATTAGAATAAGAGAAAACCCGAGTAAAAGTGCATTCAACAATCAGAGTTTATTATTTTACATAACCAGGCATATGGAGGTGGTATGGGTCCAGGTTTGGTTAATTTAGGCTTGACAGTGTCATCAAATACCCGGGTTTCTCCCACCTTTCCACTCCACTCTCCTCAGTGGGTTTCTTTATTCTTACACTCCCTATGGTTCCAGTTATTAGGTTGCTGCAAACGTAATTGTGGTTTCAGACCATGAATTTTAAATCATTATAAGTAGACTCCTTAAAAACAAATCTTTATTATCAAAATCAGAAGCATTAAGAATCAACAGATTTTTGCCATGAGAGAAAACTTTATTCCTGTAACATAAAAATCCAAGCTTTGGTGGGATGTAATGAACTCTTGGAAAGCATTTTCTGCCTCCTGTTGGTTGTGGAAGTGTTTTCCCTGCAAAAACTTATTAGGATGCTTGAAGAAGTGGTAATCGGTTAGTCAGCAGTCTGGTGAATATGGTGGATGAGGTAGAACGTCGTAGCCCAATTTGTTCAACTTTTGAAGCATTGGTTGTGCAATGTGAGATTGGGCGTTGTCATAGAGAAGAATTGGGCTGTTGCTGTTGACCAACACCAGCAGCAGGTGTTGCAGTTTTTGGCAGGTCTCAGCTATTTGCTGAGCATACTTCTCAGATGTAAAGGAATTCAGAAATCTCTAGTGCATCAGACCAACAGCGGACCACCAAGCAGAGACCATGACCTTTTTTTGGTGCAAGTTTGGCTTTGGGAAGTGCTTTGGAGCTTCTGTGTCCAACCACTGAGCTGGTCAAGGCTCATTGTCATATAGAATCCACTTTTTGTCACACATCACAATCTGATCAAGAAATGGTTTATTGTTGCATAGAATAAGAGAAGGTGACTCTTCAAAAGACAATTGTTTGGATTTGTGGTCAGCTCATGATGCACCCACTCACTGAGTTTTTTCACCTTTCCAATTTGCTTCAAATGCTGAATGATCACCATCGACATTTGAGTTTTTGGCAGCTTCTTGTGTAGTTGTAAGAGGATCAGCTTCAGTGATGGCTCTTAATTGGTGGTTGTCAACTTCTGATGGCTGGCCACTATGCTCCTCATCTTCAAGGCTCTTGTCTCCTTTGCAAAACTTCCTGAACCAGCACTGCACTGCCTATTAGCAGTTCCTAACAAATGCGGGCCAAAAGCGTTGTTGATATTGCAAGTTGTCTCCGCTGCTTTATGACCCATTTTGAACTTGAATAAGAAAATTGCTTGACTTTGCTTTTTGTCTAACATCATTTCCATGGTCTAAAATACATATAAACAGCAAGTAATAAGTCATTAGCAAAAAAACATAAAGCGAGAAATGTGCATTTAAATGATGTATAACATAACCACATTTGTTTAAGAATGGATTTCAGTGTCAAATGGCACATTTCGACAGTGCAAAAAGCTCAATTACTTTGGCACCAGCCTGGTATCATCTCACCATATGCCCAGTCTCAGCTCTTGTCACTTGTGAAGGAAACGAGCCACCACTCGTGTGCTTTCACCTGCGTAAGCTCACCCCTGGGACAAGCGAGGAAGGGACAAAGCTTTCCCTGAGGACAGAGCTGTGACTCAGTGAGCAAGGAGAAAGGGAGATTGGTGGTTGGGAAGGCACCCGTCAGCACGTGCTGCAGTATTACTTCTTGTCTTTCTCATGCTGGTTAGTAAAAGTCAGACCACACCAAGCAGGGTGATGAGTGGAGGACTGTCAGGCCCTCAGAAAGGTCGTCCTCCATGAGATGAGAGAATTTCTGCTGATCGGCCTAAAAGCTCAGTATTAAAACACCAAGTATCTGGCATTTTTCATTAGAGAGAAATACAGCATTTATTTAAAGTTTGTCTCTTACACCAAGT